TGCTTCGTGCCCATGTTTAAGCACAAGGAACAGAATTATGAGATTTCCGTGCTTTGAAAGCATCCTTTTAACGTAAGCTTTGAAAAATACCACATGGCAGATTGTTGGGCAAGAAATGTGCTTTAGAATGGCACACAAAGACGGAATAATTATGGCGGAACGTGTTCCTAAATTTCATCAAGGCAAAATCCACGAACCTTGAAAATCTGTATCGACTAATGACAAGGATTTCTTGATAACCTTTTCGAGATGCAGCGATTTCGTCAAGATTCAAGAAGTTACTTCACAAAACAGTTACTATAGAGACAAGAGAAATAAAGGGCCCACATAGTGTGGCGGTGAACGCGTTAGTCCTCGGAAAGAGTAATGGCGTGTTCGATTCCCAAATACCTGCTGTTCGAAGTTTTACAAATATATCAGCATCATTGTGGTTCAATTTCACATAATACTAAGCCGTAAAGAATTGTAGTAGGTAGCAAATAAAACGGTTTAAATCGGAGTTATATTTTACAGCATAACCTACCATGAAAAAGAACAGGCAGGCAAAAAATAACTCCTCTACGAGGAGACAAGGTTACCTTTCCACCCATCGCTGTTCTTCATTTTAAACCCTCACCTTTCTAAGTTATCATGCGATTCGGTACCTTTTACCAGGAAATCCCTAAAAAAACTAAATCTCTACTTCAAATGTGGGAAACACGAAGCATTACAGTGACACTGTCACACTTGGCTGTCACAAAGACAGCGATTACTCAGAAACTACGTTACTTCACAGCATATTTGTTGAACTCCAAATTGCCTTTATGCTTATTTCGCTNTCCACGAACCTTGAAAATCTGTATCGACTAATGACAAGGATTTCTTGATAACCTTTTCGAGATGCAGCGATTTCGTCAAGATTCAAGAAGTTACTTCACAAAACAGTTACTATAGAGACAAGAGAAATAAAGGGCCCACATAGTGTGGCGGTGAACGCGTTAGTCCTCGGAAAGAGTAATGGCGTGTTCGATTCCCAAATACCTGCTGTTCGAAGTTTTACAAATATATCAGCATCATTGTGGTTCAATTTCACATAATACTAAGCCGTAAAGAATTGTAGTAGGTAGCAAATAAAACGGTTTAAATCGGAGTTATATTTTACAGCATAACCTACCATGAAAAAGAACAGGCAGGCAAAAAATAACTCCTCTACGAGGAGACAAGGTTACCTTTCCACCCATCGCTGTTCTTCATTTTAAACCCTCACCTTTCTAAGTTATCATGCGATTCGGTACCTTTTACCAGGAAATCCCTAAAAAAACTAAATCTCTACTTCAAATGTGGGAAACACGAAGCATTACAGTGACACTGTCACACTTGGCTGTCACAAAGACAGCGATTACTCAGAACTACGTTACTTCACAGCATATTTGTTGAACTCCAAATTGCCTTTATGCTTATTTCGCTATTCATTGAATCGCCACTCATATGGTTGCGCTCTCCGGTTCCTTCATACCACTAGAAGGTCTCCATCGTACATTCCATGTCCGTTTTATGAAAGTAGTAAGCACCTCATCAAAACGTTAGATGTTTGCTTTCTGAAAGTAGCAACTAATTGTCCAGAACCCCAGCTGTTTATTTCTCGATAATAAGTACTTAGTAGGAACTTTAGCCGCCTTTATCTAAAATGATAAAGTAGCAAGAGTGAAAGCGTAGCTGACTGCCATCGAGTACATGCGTGTTTTCTCTGTGCCAATTCGCTATATCCTATATGAACAGACAACTCTTCACCAAATGCTGTAAGGTTTATTGTTCCTAGTGTAACTCTCTCCCTCCGAAAACCACAAATGGTGCGAAATAAACACAGCATCGATGAATAGATTAAGGAGGATTCATGTGAAGTCAAAAGAAGAAAGGTTTACGACCAAATCATGGATGAATGATAAAGTGAACCGACCCGAACACTACGACTTCACTGACGTATTTATTCCTGGTCGTCGAAGTCAAAGACTCCATTCATAGCCATGTTGATCTAAACGATAAAGATGCAAGACAGTTCCAACTTAACTTATAAAAACACAAACAGTTATCCGATATAATGTATGCAACCATAGCCAATGAGGTTCTTAGGAGAAAGTTCTAGAAGCTCAAAAAATTTTCATCCGGCAGAAATTCACTTGCGGATCAATAGATCGAACAATCACTACCGTTGTGAAATCGTTGTGGGACCACAATTCACTCAACCACCGCTGCGCCTATAAAAGTGAAATTTAGAAAATTATAGTCTCGATGACATGTATTACCTGAGTATCGTACGAGTACATGGAAGAATGGATCTAGTAGATAAAGGAATACAGCCCCAATGATACTGAGCTATTTGGAGAACTCAGATTCCAGGCCAGGTTCGAACCTTCGACTATCCTTTCCGGGGGCTCATGTGTTATTCATTGCACGGTCCGAGACCCTTGCCTTGCTTTTCATCAGGGCGGTTTTTCACTCCAGCCGTGCCATGAGATGAAGGAATGTTTGTTCCTATCGCTAACATATGCCTGCGGAATCCTTGGACGACATTCAAATCCCTAGATGACTTACTTTCATGCACGCTGTATGGGGTGCCAGAATTGTTGAGCTCGATCTGTTTTCTCGCATCCATCATCCATAAAGATATTCGAACTTTTCGAGTATTGTTAAGGCGCCTCTTGAGGATTGCTGTCTTCTTAGTGGATGCTGCTGAATGTTGTCGAGCCGATTATCTCTTGCAATACTTGGAAAGCGAGTTCATTTACATGGGTTGGAGGGATTGAGCCAGGCCCAGACAAGTAGTATGGTAACGATTTCACAATATTGCACTTCTTTCATTTAATTCGTTTCTCCGCATTTGTCATCCACAAAGGCTTTCGCATTTGCATATGGATACCTACGGAATTTTTATTTTCATTATAAATGTCGCTGAATACTGGTCAAGTTGATTCTCCGTGGAAACCTGGAGGATCCATGCGGGGCGTTCTCACGTATTCCAGCGGTTCTTATAGAGAAGGGGTGCTCCTCAGATACGACTGTAGCCACCCACTTAACCCGGAAAGGATCTTGTTAAGATATGACATCGACCCTGATCTTTTCAAGCATTAAACGTCGTCTCTGCTACTACGCTATTTGCGGGAGTTGTTGCCACATATCTGAACAACCTCATATGCACGCATAAAGAAGAGTTCGAAGAACATATTAACTTCTAGATAGGCAAAGAGCATAACTAAAGGTAGAACCGGAGACCACCTTTCTGTTGATCCCGACGTTGAACAATAATTCTCTGTTTTCTTCATAAGTACACAAGAGATTGTTACTACAGCTTTTGTTCACAGGTACTGACATTTCGGCGGATTGATTCTCCTTCAGAGCTTGTATAGGTCTAATTTCTTCCAATCTATTCAACCAAGCGCGTTCATAGCCTCAGCAGAAAAATCCTCGCGAAGCATAGATTCCAGTCGCATTAAAAACAAAGCAGCTTCTTCACACATTCACCGCTTTCTAAGAGTCTTCCGCACAGTATTTCAGGTGGAGGCCTCGTATAGACCCCAAATGGAAGCTCAGTGTGCCTCCCACCTTGAAATATCAGTCTGGGAGCAAATTCCAAGACCGGCATTGTCTTGAACTCGACGCTAATCAATGATTCACTGTTTCGGTCGAATTGGAAAAACGAAGTTGCTACTATACAGTTTACTAGTACTAAGTAGCTGAGTTCCGACGGTTTCGTCTTGTGGACTGCGGGTGTCGATTTGAGTTTTCCATGCTCTGAAAAAGACGAAATTCTCCCTAACGTCAGCTTCTCTGTCATTAAAGAATAAAGTGGCTACCTCTTGTTTGCTCATCACGAAAACAGTGGACCTTGATGGGTGCACAATAAACAGTATAATGACATCTTCGTATGGACCTATGAAGACAGCGCTTTGACTAATGCTATTTGGAAGAAGTCTATATTTTGAAGTTGAACAGGAAACTGAAAGTACCACCTCAAAAATCTCTAGACCTTCTTTCCAAAGCTTGTTTTTAAAATTTCAAGACACCAAATCTCATCACACCACAGACTACTGAGAATTCCCATTTATGCGCCATATGGTAAATTGGCGGACCGTATTCCTGCCATAGGCGAAAAGTCATGCCACTAAGAAAAAGATGAATGCTAGATCAATCCCGGATTACAGTTCAGGTATGAAAGTGTCGCATTTCATTGGACTTCTCATGAAACTTCTCTCCTTTCGAATAACGACGCAATGAAAACTCCAACTCTTTCATTTTCTCGTAGTAACAGTTATAATACGAGAAAAATTCGAAACAGTACATCAATTACGATTCACAATCTGAGTACTGAAGCGTCGGGTTTTTATTAGCTTCTTCAGGACGTGCATTCATTCGGGGGAAGGCTTTCAGCAAGCAGTAAAATCACGGACCATTTCGAATTCCCCATAACAAGAGATATAACTTAACTCATTCCATTTGTGAGTTGAAATCTAACCTGAGAACGACTTTGGAAAATACCTATTCTACCATGCGTCTAATAATAGAAGAAATATGTAACACATTTCTCGCATGCAAGCTTCTTCTTCTTAGCTGCACTTGTTTAGTCAAACCGCACAAAATAACATTACTCTCCCTAATATTTTATTCAAACGGCACCATTAACAACACTGGAAAATTACAGAATACCATTTAATACACAACACTCGATTTACAACTTACCCTAAGAGGCTAAGATGTGATACAGAGATCAACGCAATTACCTGTTTACTTTTAACGGCAGTATAACAATACAGCATTATAGGAGAAACCTGCAAAGGGGTCAGTATAACTGAAAACTCATGACACCGTAGAATAAAGAAACCAAACAAGTACTGAGTAGTAGTGAGCAGCGACAGCTCAAAAGGACAACAAATGTAGTATTGGTGGATTTTCAGGCCAAATTTGTCAATAAAGCACGAAGAAGCACACGAATAATGACAACAGCAACCACAAAAAAAATTAGTAAATCAGTAGATTACACTTTGCTCACTGGCATCATACTCGTCACCAACCGTTATCCCATCTTCCTCATCAGAGTTCTTCAACGACTCCTCGTTTTCTTGTTCGTCTGATCTTCCCATCATCTTTGTTGCTTTTATTTTCTTTCTCCTTGGTTCTTCGTCTTCATTCTGTACTACACGTGTTTTTAGTGCCTTCAGGTTTATACGGAAATCACGCATTCCAATCGTATTCTTCTGGAACAAAAAAGAAGGCTACTGTGAGCCCAACAAGTCTATAATTTTACACATTACTTCCTAAAGTACATCCCGAATCGTGAACAAAGTAGTAGTAAGGGCTAGTCAGAATTATTTTCCACCTGATGAGTACCATAAACGTCACAACAAATTTCCCTGCACTACATAAGAGAGTTCATGAACGATAGACGAACATAACGATGTAACGAAGCGATGCTATGGGAACTCAAATTTATCACTTCCACTTAAGCTCTAACATTTTCTAAGAAAAGGCATAGCCTGCACAGCTTAAATATAGACCATCTACGAATCAATTCCACATAAGTGACCATGCGTCACCCTGCTGTAGTGCTTCTATACAGTTACTCTTATGGAAAATCAGCTCTTCAGGTGCTCTCAAAAGAAATGATGGGACATTTTTACACAGCGCCAAGGTACCCTATTTAAGTTTGCAAGCACATGAGAACATTTCGAATTGTTTTGTTACAATGAACTCAAAGAGTGTAACTATCACTGCCCGCATCTATCTCTCTTTCCACAAAACGCTTTTAGACGAAATTCGCAAGTATGTTTGATAAAATAAATCTACCTTCACTTGAAAATTAAGCCGGTCCTCTTTTAGTGCTTCTGATATCAATAGAATTCGACTCTGAAGTGCTTCACGAGCTCTTACATACTTCACGTAAATTATTTCATCTTTGCGGACACTTAAATAAAGGCAGACATAGATAAAGGTTATTCTAAGTACATGGCACTCCACAAACGAAGACTACAAATGTCGAACCTCTTCTTGCGAGAACTCCGCGCTTCTTCAGGATTGAAAATCCCAACATGCTCATCGGCAATCGCCATAATTGCTTGTAACTAAAACAGAAAAAAATGTGTGAACCACAAAACAGGGGAAAAAGAATCGACAACTATATGGAAGCGGAATTCGAATGGAACAGGAACTACACAATACGAACCCTTTCCTTCAGCAGCTTGCTAAGCAATGTTAACGACTTCCATTCTACCATCTCTGGTACAGTTTTCACGTTGTTCAACATCTGCAAAAGTTATTCTTTTTCTCTTAAAACTGGTGTTTTGCAAGTAACTAAAATTTGCCCATTTATGGGTTAATTCGCATAAACGTTAATGCAGAAGTGTGACAGCCATAAGATGTTTCCAGTCGTCAATGCACCCAGTGAGACGAAATATCCTCTGTTCAGTCACCTGCTGCTCAGTCACTCAAATAAGCCTCGGCGAGAAAAGCAAGAAAAAATTATTGCGCTCCAAAGTCGGATTTTATCGCGGCCAAGCAATAGAACATTGAGTTCAATATGAGCTTAGGTGCCTTTGTTAAAACGTGCAACAATAAAAAGCCATACAAACCGGGATCTCGCCAATGGTTAATTATTTCACACTGAAGTTGGAAAATGTCCCCGGCTAGTTAATAGTAAGCACGTGCTCTAAAACCAAGCGACGGTTTATCGCCTCTTCGTCGCTAGGAGAGGTATTCCTAGGTATCATGTTCCGATGTAGAGCTCCGTGTTCATCTACCCAGCAGGGCACCTCAAGCTGAGGAGTCTGGCATTACCAACAGGAAACCCAGCTAGGAGTAAACCAAAACCAGAATCCACCATCGTCTGGTATCAAACTAGTCGCATGGTGGTAAATCTCCTTCTGGTTTGGTCCACAAAAACCGTGACTGCCTGTGTTGGTGACGACCTGGGGCAGACTTTGACTTGGCTGATCTCGGAACTCCACGAAATCACAATGACTAAACATGCAAAACTCTGAAAAATGGAAATCGTGTTGGGGAGTGCACAATCAGTGAGGACGGGCCTTCCAGGAATTCAAGGATGCCATTTGAAATAAAGAAATCTGACTTGAACCATATTTCAAAGCACTAACCAGGTCAACAGGCATTTGAATCGCACTGAAAAGAGCAGTGAGCGTTTGAACGAGTCGCTCCCGTTCTACAGCGAATTGTGAGTGAAGCGGAAGCAGACGCGATGTTAACTGGCAACAGTGACTGCATTTTGTTAGTGCGGCCGTCAGCACCTCATCCACTAGAAGCAGCTATATTAATTGATACAAAAGCACATAAATAAGCCTCAAATCTAATATTTAAATGTACATAACACCAACTATAACCTATGAACTCCTCCTTAGATGGCATCTCTGCTTGACAACTTTAATCAGTTAGATACGTTTTTGAACACAGCAATGGATAACTTCAATGATGCTGAGATATGTGCCAAACACCAGACCACAAGGGTCTGCGGTGAGTAACGAACGCGTTGTTGTCTGTTACGAGTAGCAACGCGTTCACCATCACACCATGCGGGTCCTCCGTTTCGCCTGTCTTCAGCTAGTTCTACCAACCCCTGCCATCAGCATTCACCTGCCTGCAGGACTGATCTGGGGAACCCAAATCGGGTAATTGCTGATGGCAGAGATCGATAGAACTAGTTGAGAGACAGACGAAACGAAGGATCCGCATGGTGTAGTGGTTAACGCGTTCCTTTATGGAAATGACAACAGCGCGTTCGTTCCACACCGCAGACGCCTGCGGTCCGGTGTTTTGCAAATATCTCAGCATCATTGAAGTTATATTTTGCAATATACCCTACCATTAAAAAGAGCGAGCAGTAAATAATAAGTTAAAACAGGAATGAATAGTTATTGCAAACGAGTACTCTTGCTGGAACACTTAGCAAGGAATACAAAGGTTTTCCTATTGGCCTTAGAGGTACTATGGATATTCACCAGAAACGTAAAACAATAGAAAAAGAATGCTTCTTAACAAATTTCTAAAAACATTTAATAGTAAGCAATTCACTTCTTTGATCCCTCGCTTGGAAAGCACTAGCAAATGATATCACACTGTGAACGCCCACCAGTGATCGGTCAATCAAGGACGCCAGAAAATCGCAAATCGTTGCCTTTGAAGCGTGCTCGACGAATTTATATTTACACTCGTCACCCTGAGCAAAACACTCCTGTAGTACTGTTAAAACTGTCGAAGACAACAACAAAAACTTCAGAACGGCACCTTCATATAAATTGCGATCACCTCGTAAAATTGGTTGTAGAATAGCCGGAAAATTTTCACACATCTGAATAAGTAAACTGACCTCCTCACTTAAAACCTGCACCAAATTGTCTGCTACAGTGTTCAGAGTTTTTTCCACCTCATTATCAGAATCCATACATTTCATGGTCAGATTACATAACCACTTTAGCAACTCACGCAACGTGAAGTTGTTCGCTAAAAATTCCCCTCATTACTATATTGAATAGTCCTATTACTGAGGCAATATTCATGACATCACAGATTTCACTAGCTCTGTTAGCATTTATTTTGGACCTTGTACGCAGCAAAAAGCCACTGAATAGGCTGTTTATGGACTGATTGATTCCTTCTAAATTATTCAATTATAGTTAGGGAGAATTGTTTAGCTGTGGTGAGCCCGTATTGCAGAAAGGTGCAGCCCACGCTGGTACTGATTTGATACCGGTCCAGGCAAACCAGGTCTCTCATTCCTTCAGGGAAAGAAAATTAACAGATAGCAGACTAATCTAGTACAAGCCGACTCCTTCAAATCCACGCTTGTGCGCCTAAGAACGGCTATCTCAGCATTTCAGGGAGCGTGGACACAACAAGCATTCAACAGTATTCGTTACGAAGATAAAAAGCGTTCAAACAAGGAGCTGAAGCCACACGTCTACAGTCGAGAAGTTCGAAGACCTTCTTAGATGATGAGTGCGAGAAAGCGAATGGAATGCAAGAGGTGCTGGAATCTGCACAGTGTGATACATGTGACCGTGGGCCATGTAGTTAAAAATGGTATAAGAAATCTTGCAACTGCAGAAATATGGTGATATTTCCAAAAGGAAGCACGTCGGAATCAAAAGTTCAAAGCACTTAACGAAGCTAGAAAGATACAGTTGCGCTTAAAATTGATAACAAATCCAATACATGGAGATATAGGCCTTGATAATGGAGAAGGACTCGGAGCACTCAACGGGTTTTGACAGTGACCATCTGAATGCGATAATGACAGATGGTTCTCGAGAAAACACTCAAGCAGAGCATTTTTTTTGTAGCCCTAAAACTCAACGTCTTGCGTTTAACAATCGCTCCTCAACTGGAAGATTTTGGAAAGATGAAAAAGGTTAGCAAACGACTGCCAAATGAGATCAGCAAAGAACAAAACTACCGCGTATGATCTCTGTTCTGCCTTATAAAACCGATCCATTCGCCTCTACGCCGAGAAGTGTGACGAGAATTGAACTCCAAGCACCACTTTTTTAAGCATCTTGACAACTAACACCTACGAAAATCTTCAAGAACTAGACCGCTCTTGAAAACGACTTGGAAGAAGTCGTCGAATGCAAAACCACATTTTTAAATTTTCGGTATAAGTAAAATTGTACCGCCTTCAAAAACGTGTAATCAAACGGTACTAAAATGAACTTCTGTTTGAGCTGACTTGTGGCATTTTAAAATTGGTGTTAAAAATCGGCCAACTATTGCACCAATCCAGTAAAAAGGAGGAGATCCGACATCACGTTTAATGCTGTGTGCACCACTCACAACGAACCGGAGAGAAGCATTACACCATGGAAGGTATTCAATAAACTCATCACGAAACTGCATTTCGTAAATCAACTTCAAAAACTTCACATGTTTACAAATTACCGGCATATGTAGTGCTCCTTGCACGCTCGAAGTGGAACACCGATGCGAGGACCAGATCGTGAAGACAGAAGACAAATGAATAAAAGATAAAGTCGGCTGGATGATTAGCAAGAGTAGGTTACCCCAAATAACATTAACAACTGCGTCCGTGTACCAAATCTACTGAATATATGAAACTAGTCAATGTCAATGAAACTAGGCAATGTATTATTTGTAGAGAGGCATAACTAACCGATAACGTTCTTTTCCAACATTCCCATAGTAAACTTGAACATGGTCATGAAACACCTCGGACTATCCATCATTTTCATCAAAGCAGAACAAATCTAAACTGAATAGAAGTGAAAAACCAAAAGTGGAGACAATAAGTAAAGCAATCAGCACTGCTCGCTCTACTCAGCAGTGCTAAATTTAAAAGGAAAGCAATTACTGAAAATACTGACGAGGAACTTTTCCAGCACTTATCCCTGCAGGTAAAAAAAAGTTGGGAAACTTTTACAGGATGCAAAAAACCCAAGGACACCATAGAAAGGTGGTAAACAAAGCTGTCCATTGGTGCGCTTGGCGTCCACGACCCTTTCTCACTACAGGGTTATTTCGCCAGTACAGTTTTGCAGCAAAGTGCCAAACTTTCAAAGTACTATCCATGACGCATCAATGCTGTATTTTCAAACGAAACTACCAAATCTTGACCGACCGCCAAATTCTTTCCACATTGGCACAGGACTAACAACACGGACACCTTCACTCAGCGCTCACCATTGAATAGTGGATTGCTTAGTCACAAATTATAAGAAGTTATCTAGACTGTACTACCTTGAATATCAGCTTAGCTTGTCGTTCTAATTCCACACTAATGCGTCTCCTCTCCTCGCCTTCCCTGCGATCCACTGCTAGTATGGCCGGAAGAAGTTTAGTTACAAACAAATGACAGTGGCGAACAAGGCTGCCATTTGTGGTTAAAGTTTTCTCATCACCTCTTGCCAATGTTGCATTCAGGTCTGAACGCTTCCCTAAAATTGGTATTCCAACGCCAGATGCAACTACTTGATAAATCATTGTAATGTCTGCCCTTTAAGACAATATGAAACAACAGACGGTAACACAAGAAGTTCTGGAGAATTCTACTTACAGATAGGAATCACTTTTATTGGTTGACTTCGATATTTAGCTGACAGATATAGTAAAATATTCGCATATGCCTCCAGAGCCTAGAATCAACGACTTGTTTTTTAAGCAGAAAAATAAACTAAAGAAGAGATTGTCAATAAAACCAAAAAGCTGACTACAACAGCATTTCTGGAATTACCTGAACCCCATGCGAGAATGTTTGAGTGTATCAAATTTTTGCACAGAGTTGAAGAGTTGAAACATTTTAACGTTATTTTAAATTTCAGAAGAAGTGCTGGTCTCAGCACAATCTGTGGATGTGGACCATATGAGTTATCCAAGTATGTACCTTAACGTTTTCCTAGGATTCCCCTAATTTCTAACATTGGGTTAAAAGAGTTCGAATCTTTTCGCTTGTACTGCCCGATATGAATAAGGAGATAGAACACAGCTTGATATATTTAGATAAAACGATAACAATTTTAAATATAAAATCGCAACCTCGTAAGAATTGCCTTTTCGTAAATCACATACCCTCGTTTTGCTCGGATCTGCCAGCTCGCGAGACTCAATCCAATCCGCGCAGTTCGTACTGGTGTAGTAATCAAGAAGGAACCTGCAGGAACTCATAAAACACTTCAAACTGCATTTCTAGGTGAAATAAAACCAACAAATGTAGAAAAAAAAGGGGAAAATCGTTAAAAACAGCCGATATAGCATCAATACCAAAAACGTTATCACTTGGACAGAGGAAAACGCCGTGGTTCACACCAATATTAAAATAGAGAGAAAACCTACGGATACCCCACTAGGTTTTAAAGCTCAAAAACCACATGTTTTTCAACTAAAACAGCTAGAAATATCAAATCCGGTTACTAGAGGGATAATAACGACGCCTACTAACCCTGCCGAGTAGGTCAACGTGCTTGTTCCACAAAAAACGGAATGAAGTGGATGAAAACCATGGAGTAAAGACTTCGACAAGGAAAGCATACGGTCGATTGCCCAATCTAGCAGATCAGAGCGCAACTCGTTCAATGCCTCAATCGAAGATGACTCTCTGAACATCGTTACATTGAAACACCAAGATTTTCCGAATGATGTTGGCTGTTTCTCATAGGATAGAACACGAATAACCACTCACGGAGGTACAATCGTTTCAAAAATCTGCGTTAGTGAAAAGCAATTTATCAGAACGTCCGCCTGTTTTAACTCCACACTTGGCCCACCATCGGTTGTACCGGCTAAATACAAGGAAAAATTAAGTTGCCTGCGGAGTGTCAACGAAGTAACTAACAAATCTGGCGAAGTTAACATTCAGGCAATGTAGGCTCACTGATAAATATAAGCTTAGAAAACATCAAGCATGAAGTAAGGCCAGGATTTGTAACCGTATGCTATTCACTTGATTTCTTTTCCTTTGGAAAGCTTCAAAGAAGCAAATTAGTACCTTTGCTTTCCTTTCTTCGCAGGCATTTCTCCCGGAGCACTTCTTCCAGTTCTTTTCTTCGCCCCAATAAAGCAGTCATACGATCGACATTCGTCACACTGTGTTATTAAGGGAACATTTCTCAACCAAATAGAAAATAAAAGGCTTTTTTAAACTTTATAATACTCAGAAATATTTAAAATCATGTAAATATGACTTTTAAAGAATATTCTCAATTATGGTATTGAGTGATTAACGAAAATGTTCACTACTAAAACAGAGATCGATGACCGGCATGACGCAGAACGTTTCCAACCAGCTACAACACTTATGCATCGAACTAACCGGTCAACTTATTATACAAGGGTCTAATGGTGGCACCACAAGAAATAAGCAAGCACGTTTGTTCTGCGAAAGCAAGAAGTTAATACCACATAGAGAATTAATATTATATAACTTTGAAGACGGCATGCCTATAGTGCAGTGGTCTGACACGCCCTGCAGTACACATGGGAACGATCACAGCGCCCTAAACTCACCAGGTTTTCTATCAGTCCCGCGTCGGCAAATTGATGCTAGACCTGTCTAGGACGATAGCAGCACTGGTACGCTGTATCGGTAGGGAACCGCGAGTCATAGTATAGCCCAATTATGCATTCAGTCACCTACCTCCAACCATGCTTAATGAAGTCGAATACCTGGCGCACCCTTCAGAGAATGATCAAGGCCGAAAGCTTTGTGATTTGAACTTTGAAGATTCAAAAACAAAGTTTTCATGGTGCAAAACTGTACACACACTTAAATCATTGCTCATTCAAATATGCAGAAAAAATTGAAAAATCTTTGCTGCATATTTAAAAACTACTTGGAGCAATACTTTGCAAGCTCAGTTTAATTTAATCTCAGTATAAGCAACCACGTAACTTTGTTGGCAGCGAAGACATAGAATAAGTGGCCGAATAAATTTTTACAACAATCACGTGTCAGCTTACCAATGAAATGAGACATCGGTTAGAGTGCTTAAGGAGTTACGATACAAAATCTGTTAAGAGTACTGGGTATATGGATAAACTCAACGAAATTTGCCGTAGTGAACTATACCTCTGATTNTTAATATTATATAACTTTGAAGACGGCATGCCTATAGTGCAGTGGTCTGACACGCCCTGCAGTACACATGGGAACGATCACAGCGCCCTAAACTCACCAGGTTTTCTATCAGTCCCGCGTCGGCAAATTGATGCTAGACCTGTCTAGGACGATAGCAGCACTGGTACGCTGTATCGGTAGGGAACCGCGAGTCATAGTATAGCCCAATTATGCATTCAGTCACCTACCTCCAACCATGCTTAATGAAGTCGAATACCTGGCGCACCCTTCAGAGAATGATCAAGGCCGAAAGCTTTGTGATTTGAACTTTGAAGATTCAAAAACAAAGTTTTCATGGTGCAAAACTGTACACACACTTAAATCATTGCTCATTCAAATATGCAGAAAAAATTGAAAAATCTTTGCTGCATATTTAAAAACTACTTGGAGCAATACTTTGCAAGCTCAGTTTAATTTAATCTCAGTATAAGCAACCACGTAACTTTGTTGGCAGCGAAGACATAGAATAAGTGGCCGAATAAATTTTTACAACAATCACGTGTCAGCTTACCAATGAAATGAGACATCGGTTAGAGTGCTTAAGGAGTTACGATACAAAATCTGTTAAGAGTACTGGGTATATGGATAAACTCAACGAAATTTGCCGTAGTGAACTATACCTCTGATTTTCATGAAACCTGCTCCACTCATGTTCGATGAGTACATCATATACATTCAGCATCATATGAGCGAACAGCATGTTCGCACAACCGCGTGCAGTTGCCGGATTCCATTCCGACAACTTATCGACACCTAAAGTCACATCTTTCAATAGGACGATAAGTAATCTGAAACAAAAAACATTAATGACTTAAACGGTAGACGATGAAGTATCTATGTCTTCAAAGCTAACCAGAAAATGACTCATGACCTACTAAGTTACTTCGGTAGGAGATTAATATTAATTAAATACATTATGGATAGAAACAACACATAGATTTCCCCAAGTGCTCCACGTCTATCTAGGTCAAGAATCAACTTGATAAACGACTTAGGTCCAGAGTTGAGCAGAAGGAAACGAACAGCTTGGGGAGCTTTCAAGACCATTGACGATGTAGTGAAGAGAACAAAAAACACCGGACTCCGTGTCCACGTTTTCGACTCCGCGATTCTTCCTTTTCTACCATATACATCAGAAACCCTAGTCGCTGCGTAAGCAGGAAGAAAGGTTACTCAGAATTATTGAACGCGCTGTCGAAAGGACGATGCTACTAGTATTTCGGGTCACACAAGTCAGGAGACGGATTCGAAGCTCCGACCTACGTGGACGATCAAAAAGCGAAGATGCCGTCCTGTAGGCGTAACTAGGAGTGGTACGTACGTAATGCGTATGAACATCAACTGATGGACAAGAGCCGTTAGTGAGTGGGTTCTTCGGGTTGCCAAACATACAGCAGGAAGACCACCGACCAGATGGCCAAAGTTTTCACGAAATCCCTTGAGAAATAGATGTGATGCCCAACGAGTTCTCTTTGTGAGCAGAACTCACTGGGCCACTCTTGCATGCATGAGGGAAAAATCAAAAATTGATAGGCAACTACTCGAGTCACTAAGCGACCAGCGGGGCGGCAGTGATATAGGTGATACACGCCAAATGCAGTTTATAAATTTTGTTGAGTTGTTTATGGAGAATAATAACGATGTTTTCCAAGACCACATTAAGCAAACAGATTGCATTCTAATTCTGTATAAAAATCGCCGTGTTCCAAGTAACTGATAACAGCAAGAGGTTGGAAAAAAAACAAAAAAAAACCCCGAAGTCAATAACCCAAAAGAAAACCAATCACGACTAACTCATGTACAGGGACTAACGCCACATCTAAAAACACCCAAAAAATACCAACAAAAACGTAAACTCACTAAGAATTAATAGCGTTACATCAAACATAAAACCATCCATAACAAAAAAGATTCAGGATACCCAAAGAACCGAAACCAACACAAATTCTTGAAATCTGATGAAAACCATTACAGAAATGAGGCTCTCTTTAATAAATGGACTGAAAACCATCAAAAACTACGACACGAGCAATCGAAAGTATTAGCTTCCTCTGACAAAAACCCGTCGCACACCAAAAAAAATTGTAAAAATTACAGTAAAAAAAGGAATTTGTAAAAATTACAGTACAAAACTTTGCTTATCCGGTATACTCGCCGAAGATCTCCCCATATTTCAAACACAACCAAACATTGTTAACCTTTCATTCTCTGCCTACTACAATTTTTCACGGCAGGGTATGATGTGAATTACAGCCACAACGATGCTGAGATATTCGCAAAATTTTGATCCCGGGTCAGATCGAACTACGACTTCACTTTCCTGGGGCTCGCGCATTACACACGGCTCCGCGGATGACCTTCCTCTGTGTTTCTCTCAGTTAGTTTTCTATTTATCGCTACCATCAGCAATCACCCATCAGCGGAACTGATCTGGGGAACCCACATTAGCATCGAACCCAGTTAAGCCGAGGGCATGGTCGAAATCACAATGTTAACCTTTTATTTTCTGCTTACCACAGTTTTTCAAGACAGGATATAATGTGTGAATTACACAAAGTTTTGCGAATATCTCAGCATCGTTGTGGTTGTAATACCAAACAATATTGCTGGAAAAGTTTCAACGACTACGCAATTTTTGAGATTTTCTTCTCACTGGCATATTTCCTCTTTCGACTATTTATAGGCGTATACATGCGAACTCGTGAGAGTGCTATGCAGTACGTTGTTTTTCATCACTTGTCGGACACGGCAAGCATCACGCCTTTCGCTCAACGTGTTCGTGATGCGTTCTGACAAGAAGTATCTGTATTTCCACTGTAAGCTTGATACCCTGCTCAGCACTGCCTCCAGTGACTCTCCTTCGGCGTCTGTCGCTAACAATCACCATGTGTTAAACTGATTAATAAAACTCAACTTATGCGAACGCGTGAATGATCTTCAACTGCGAACATTGGACAAGACTTTTCATTTTCCTTACTCGCATGGTATGGGAAGTCCATAAAGTTATCCCCTCAATAGTGTGGTCAATAATATTGACTACGTTTACCCATTAATATGCGTAGTGTCCTAGTCTCCAAGGCATAAAATGGAAGCGAGTATTCGACAGATAGTGTGAAATTGGACGAAACCGGTCGATATTGTGTTCGCTTTCTTCTCTTAAATATAACACAGTCCAGCAGCAACTCTCTCACTTAGCATTCCAAAAGCTATCGTGTGAATAACCGAAAGCATGTATTAACGTGAATGGACAACAGATTTGCCAGATGTTTCAGACCTCCATCGATGGGGCCCCACATTGGACGTTGGAGGGAATAGCTGCTATAATTATGTGTAAACAATTTTAACCGTTTTATTTACTGCCTACTCTTTTTAATAGCAGGGTATATTGCGAAATATAACTTCAATAACGCTGAGATATTTGCAAAACTCCGGACTGCAGGTGTCTGCGGCGGGAAACGAGCGTGCTAATGTCTTTTCCGGGGTGTAACGCGTTCACCACCACCCCATGCGGGTGCTTCACTGAAGTTATATTTTGCAATATATTCTGTCATTAAAAAGAGTAGGCAGTAAATAAAACGGTTAAACTTTTGAGTGTAACTAAAGCCTCAGTTTAACTGGGTTCATTACCGATTTGGGCTCCTTAGATCAATCCCGCTGAGGGGTGATTGCTGATGGCAGAGATCGATAGAACTAGCTGAGAAAAAGGTGAAACGAAGGAACCGCATGGTGAGGTGGCTAGTGAACACGTTTCTCCCTGGAAAGGACAATAGCGCGTTCGTTTCCCACCGCAAACACATGCGGTCCGGAGTTTTGCAAATATCTCAGCATCATTGAATTTATTTGTAAACAATTTCGAGAATGACATGATGATAAATGGATGTGGTTATTGATGAGATTGGAACAGAGGTCGCTGGAAACCTAGTACAGTGCAAATTTTCGATATTACCTAAATCGTGCACATCCTCGTTGCTCGCCTTTAGGACCCATGAGTCTATGAGGTCATTAGCGTTCTTCTGAACATTGACCCCGATTTGTGTCTTGACTGGTGCTACATCGGCGACAACTTCTTCGCTAAGAAGACACTGAATAGCCTGAAATAAGTTCTTACCGCTTTGGTGTAGCAAGACGTTCATGAGTGTCCAGTTACAGCACAGACCTAAATAAGGGCCAGCCATGTTCGCTGTACATAGAAATCTCTTACCTGGATCAAATGCGGTAGAGGCTCCACCAATGTTACCACACCACCAGCCGTCAAGCACATTGTTTCCGCTTTCCACTCAGGAGCTGAAATTACCTTTGTAAAATCCATCCTTATACACGGAATGAAGACAATGACGCACATTCCCAAATATGTCATGTCATCGTTATCAGTCATTTTTATGACTAATAACACAAGTACCCACATCCAAAGACAAAAGAACTCTTTCTATTAGAGTACTTCCCATTGATTGTAATGTAGGAGATCAACGCTATCAACAAATCTAATCATGAATTTCCAAAACGTACGTACTTTTTCAGCTTGAGGAACTACATGGTATCCAACGAACGCCGGAAAACTATTTGAAATGAAGCTGGTATGATGTATGAATACGCACCACACAACTGACTATGAATGGTTGCTGTTCCACACAACTTTGACTAATAAAGTTATGCGAGGTCCAATGGAACCATTGGATAACTCGTTATGATTCCACAGATTAGGTTTTTCACCACCTTTCAGTAATTTCATTACATTCCCCATGTCCTCTTTATTGTTAATCAGTGGTGTTCAAAAATCTGACATACAATGACCACGACGATTTTTCGTATGCTTCCTCGTTGTTTGAAAAAAAAGTCATCTGTTTGCTATGACACCGAAATCTCAGCAGAATATGGAAAAGGTGTTTTTCTGGTGCATTAATGGAATAAAACAATACATATTAGAGACCAGTTCTATTCATTCATAAGAACATGAAGAAAACAGAATCGCAAAGAATCTTGTGAATTTCCTCTTTCTCAAATAAAACAGGATTATAAAAATAAAAAAAGCTGACCTGTAGCTGCATGAGAAACCAGGAAATCTAAGCACTGTCCAGCCATCGGAGAGTTTCTTTTACCCTCTTCAGCAAAACCAAGATAGACGGCCGTCCTATAGTGGTAGTAATAATTTACGTTCTCAATAAAAGGTGTAAACGGAACCACACTTAGTGGGAGTCCACTGAGTTAGACATCGTTTGAGCAGCCCAATCACTTCCAAGCAAACTGTCTCATCCGTCTTGCGTTTACATCCCATCGCTTGTAAACTCTAGAACATATGGTGTTTTAATGGAATAAAATAATACATATTAGAGACCCCAGAATCTGGTCACGCATTTGTCAAATAGGACGAGTCAGGTAACGGGGTCACTGTCTCTATACTTGGATATTTTGGATACTTGGATTACCTGTTTTCAACTGTTGTGCCAAACCCAGGAAAATTTCATTGCGTCGAAGCTGCACTGGTTTAGCCACCGTGGTTCTCTGGAGTCCTGAGGGCAACCTGGCCATTCTGCCGTAGGTCGTCATCACTCTGGGCAGTCGCCGCCCCTGTGGATCAGGGGAGATTTGGCACCATGCGACTATTCTGATACTAGGACAGTGGTGGATCCTAGTATTGGTTTGCTCTTAGATGGGCTTCCTAGTGGAAATGCCGGACACCTCAGCTTATGAGACCCTACCGGGGGATGAAACCCATTGTAGCCCTACACTCATAAACACCTCCCAGCCACGATGAGGCGGCAAACCGTTGGAAGGCATTGTCTCTATATGACGGGGCAATATTTTACGTGCACAAGTAACCATACTTTTGTATATATGTGCAGATGATTCTTGAGTAGAAAAAGTGTTGCACTCGTTCTGTCGTTGGTACGTTGAAAACCACTGGGTCAAGAGCACAAAAAACACATGGCTTGCGCGCGCCTTTCTGACAACGATTTACAGTAGGGTGAATGATCGGTGAGTGTTATCGACAGTTCTCAAAATGGTGATGCTTGCAGCATCCCATATCAGACCAATACGTGAGGAAATGAAAGGAGGAACTAGCAGCCTATGTCGATGTTCTGGAATCAAGACTCTCCCGTGCCAGATCGAATCACGATTACTCTTCCGTTTTGCAAAAATAGGTATAAAAATAGACAGATATAGACAGACAAACATAGATATCCACTTACTACTATTTATATCCAAACTATCATATGCATTTCCTACCTCAAACCACAAATGGCGAACTATATTTAGACTGACCTGAGAGGAAAACGTTGCGAATGACTGTGACAATTGGGAGCCGGCGATAACCTTTGGTTGTTTGCTGAAGCTACGAAAAATAAGCATTAAAATTGGAACTACAGTGTTCGCATGGCGTAAATCCAAAAGATTTCCCTAAAAGAAAACACTGTTTGTACGATGTACTTTATTACAAACGAATTAAAAGACTTAATATTTCAATCTTGACCATAGTAAATAACGGTTCCGAGGTTCACCAGTGGGAAAAATTTCAACACTACTTGTGATAGTCATCGTTTTACGTTATCAACACTGGAAAGACATTCTTACTTTAACGCTGTGTAACAATCGTTCCCTTAGTTGCGACCTATTGTTAATTATAGGCATGAAGCACCTGAAAAATTTCACGTCGGGCTCAAAATGTTTGCAAAAGATGCTTTGGAAATAGTTTATAAAGATCGAGGAATCATGAAACACTCAAGGACGAAATTCATTGTTCTCTTGATGAGCAAACACGGGTTATTTTTTTATTCTTTGTTTATAAAGAAGTTGACGTTTCGGCGGATTTCGTCTTTGTCGGAGCTGTAAAGGTAAG